GCCTACTTTTCATACATCTTTGTTATTTGTTCTATGTCCATTCCTCATAGTATTATAGAGGCAATGCAATTACCTTAGAGGAAAGATGCCATGAACCAGGAAATATAAGCTTTCATAAAGAACAAGAATTGGGAAATGGTTCCTTTTCCTAAAGACAAAGTTCTTGTAGGATGCAAGTGAATATATACTATAAAACACATGATTGATGATCCAAATGAGAGATATAAGGTTTAACTAGTGGAAAAAGGATATACTCAAACTTATGGCATTAATTATTAGGAGACATTTGCTCCTATGGCTAAAATAAACTCCATTCGAGTAATATTCTCCCTTGCCGCTTACTTCTCATGGCCTTTGTATCAAATGGATGTGAAGAATACATTTCTTAATGGTAATCTTCAAGAAAAGGTTTACATGGACCTTCCTCCTGGTGTGAGCTGCCTTAATAGTGAGGGAAAAGTACGTTGTTTGAAGAAATCTCTCTATGGCCTCAAGCAATTTCCTAGAACTTGGTTTTATAGATTCAGGAAAGTCATGGTGAAAATTGAGTTGTTGATGACCAATTGACTATGTTAATAGTATATATTGATGATATTGTGGTCACAGGGACAACACCTCTAGAATTACTTAATTGAGATCTTTCCCTACTTCTAAATTTGAGATCAAGGATCTAGGTTATCTTAAATATTTTCTTCGGATTGAAGTTGCAAGATCAAAAGAAGGAATATTTATATCACTGAATGAATGCCCTTGACTTACTTTAAGAAGTGGGAAAATTGGGGTGCAAACCAACTAAAACTCCAATTGATCCCAATCATAAGTTGAATGCTGATGATGGAGATATTCTTCCAGACAAAAGTGCTTATTAAAGATTGGTTGATTGCCTTCTTTATCTATATTTGTCTAGGCCTAATATTTCATATGCAGTAATTGTTGTAAGCCAACACATGTACACGACTAGAACATCTCATATGTTGGCTATAAATAGGATACTTACCTATTAGAAAGGTTGTCCTAGTAAAGGAATGCTATATACTAACCATGGACATCTTAAGGTTGAGGCTTATATTGACACTAATTGGGTAGGGTCTTTAGACAATAGGAGATATATCTCGGGCTATTGCACATTTGTTGGTGACAATGTAGTGTCATGGAGAAGTATGAAACAATCAGTTGTAGCTCGATCCAATGCTGAATCTGAATACAAAGCAATGACTCATGGTATCAGAATTGCTATGGTTGAAGAGTTTGCTAATAAAGATTGAAAAACAAGCAGAAGTTATAATGCAGCTATACAGTGACAATCAAGCTTACATAAACATTGCACATAATCCTGTCCAACATGATTGCACATAATATATTGAAGTGGACAAACACTTTATTAAGGAGAGACTTACTAGTGGAGAGATTTACCTACCTTTTGTCAAGTTAAACGATCAACTAGCAAATTGTTTAACCAAGGGGGTTCCAAAACTAAAACATGACAACAATCTTGGAAAGTTGGGCATAATACATATCTATGCTCATGTTGAAGGAGAATGTTGAAAATATGTTTTTTTTTGTACAAGCTTATTTGTATTTCTTGGTCTTTTTGTATTTGGGCATGCTAAGGGCATATGTGTAATTTATTCTTAATATAAATCTTTCTTTACGGGAGTGAACAGTAATACACCCCACACATTCAAACGTTTATTCTCCTCCTCTTCTTCTTCATCTTCTTCCTCCTAGCTCAAGTTTGCATCTAATGTTAGGGCTTTGAGAGCTCAACATCTTTATATATGAGCTATTAAGTTATGACTGAGGTGCTACATTTAGAAAAACAAATATAATAATAGTAGAGACAAAGATAAGCTTTTCATCAATAGTGAGGGGTTACATCGGTGCAAATTAATGGTAATACATTTTGAGGCTCTCTATGTTCCAAGTATGAGGTATTAGCCTCTCATCAAGGTGTTCGATTCGATATGTCCAGGGCTCTAACACTTTGGATACCCTGTAAAGTCTTTTCTAGTTGGGTTCAAGTTTTCTTGAACAAGGTTTGGCAACGAAGACTTTTATGAGTACGAGGTCACCTTCCTGGAACGAATGTCCTTGGACTTGAGAGTTGTAGAACCGAGCAACCCTTTGTTTGTAGACTCCAACTCTAATATGGGTGTTCCTAGGATTCTTCCACTAAGTCTTAATTACTTCTGAGTTCCTCATTGTGCCCTACTTCATTGTAAGATTTAGACCTTAGGGTCAGCTGATAAATCTCTACAAGAATGACAACCTTGGTGTCAAAGGCGAGGTTGAAAGGTGTTTCGCCAATGGTGGTTCGAGGTGTCATCCTATATGTCCAAAGTACATTATGATTTATGGATTTCTTTGACCCATAAGCCTTTGGCCTGGTCTAGTTTGGTCTTTTGGTCGTACAATATGTTCTTATGAATCACCATGATCTGCCATTGGTTTATGGGTAGCCAACCGAAGTAAACCATTGCTCAACTTTGAGACTTGAATAGAAAGCTTTGAATGTTTTTGATCATAATGTATTCCTATATTATATGTAGGACTCATTCCCATTTTATTAAAAAAAGCCTCTCAGTTATCTCATTCTTTGAGTTCTTTATATTAGGAAGCTATGGAATCTCTATAACTAGGTGTAACTAAGAATGTAAATATGGTCATTCTTTCCCTTTCGATTTGGTGTCTTAGGATCTGGAAATCAAGATCTCCCAAAGAGAGATTCAAGTTATTCATGGTCAGTAAGATGTGATAAGTACCTGAATTAAGATTTTTAATTTACTTACCTCCTTCCACACCTTAGTAGCTAGATCGGTCCAAATAATTCCCACAAGAGAATAATCATGCACAATCTGTGGATGCACCCCTAAACCAGATCAATGGGAACTCAAATAGGAGTTTCTGCATTATCATTTAAATGTGCTTCCATATATTAAGTCTTATGTATTTTGGTCAAGATTTCGAAAGGCTAGAACCTTGGAACACTACCAAAGTCTCAGATTCAGAAAAACCCAAAGAGTAGAGAGTAGGCGTGAGTTGGAGAGAGAGGTGTAGGGTGGTCAAATTTGCAAATTCTTGAACAAATTTAATTCTGTAGCAAGTTCAAATCCTTATCTTTAGTGTTCTCAATTATCCCGCTTTAGATTTATATGGAATCAAATATTAATCAGGTATGACGATATTCTCATTAAATTACATGGCAACAATTTTAGAATCAAATTATAGAAGACATTAAGAGCTAAGATAATATTCACACTACCTCATGGAAAACATATGGAAATGTTCGGGTAAATATAGGTATAAAGTATAACATGAAGAAGAAAAGCATTTCACAATGAAAGACCCACCAAAGGCATGGACATCAACTTCTAACCTTCATTATAAAACAATTCTTGCAATATATTAGTCTTTGGGAGAGAAGACTCAGAAGAGAGGGCTGGAGAACGGGTGCAATCAAACTGATCTTTGGGCTCGAGTTCGATTAGGTTCAGTTCAAGTTCAAATCGAACTTGAATCTTAGGACAAGTTTGGCTTGAAAACTTGCAAGCCTAGTTCAATTTATAAGTATATAATATAATATAAAAATCTATATATTTTTGAGCTTTCAAGCCGAACTCGAGCTCAAACCTAATAGTATTTTAGTTGACCTGAGACAAGACATGTCAAAGTTTGGCTCAGCTCGGCTCAATTGCACCCCTAGGCTGATGTAGTGAGAACTAAAGAGTTGTTTTGGTAATAAAAGGTGAACTGAGAACCAAAGAGTGAAGAGTGCAGGAGAACATAATGGAGCTTATGGATAGGATTTTAAGAAGGGGCAGTTTAGTCCTAGAAAAATAACTTTTAGACTTGAAGGCCCAAAGCCCCAAACTCAAACCAAACCTGAGATCAAACCCGATGTTCCCAACCTAGGCCCAACTCACAATTTGATGCACTTGAGGTCATGCCTGAGACAAGCTCAAAGTGGTAAATGAGCCCTAGACAAGCTAAAAATGGTAAATGAGCCCCTGTGAGAGAGAGAGATGCATGAATGTGTGTAGTCACTTGTTAGGCCGGCTTTGGCCTTTGGGGATATGGGCCAGGCCCAATCCGAAAAATAATAAAACCCGAAGTCCTGGGGCCAACCCAACCGAAGGACTAAAATCTTAAGCGCTGCTGGATCGGTCAGCCCGCCCTCGGGTTGGACCCACCCAAGTTGTACCCCTATTACTTTTTTATTTATCATTCAAGTAATCAACAAACCACTAAACCATTAACCTACGCCGTATATTCACTCACACACATAACATCCCACAAACTCATTAACCACAATTACTAAACCACTAAATATGTAACATCACCCTCCATGTGTTTTTGGCAGCCGGATTTGGGTCTCTGATACACGAGTCGGAGATCCTATCAACCTATAATTTTAATATGAAAAAGTACGGGTTTATCCGATGCAGATTTTTTATTTCCACTGCAGAGCTATAAACATTCAAAAGATCAACTCACATTCAATTCCGAACTGGCACCTACTCTGACAGTACTTTGAGCCTATAAATTCTGACCCCGGGCTGAACCATCATTCTCGCGTTTTAATATGACAGTTGATATGACTCATAACCCTTTTCAGATTTCTACTTCGTGATTTTATAACAAATTATTAATAATTAAGGAGAAAGAAGGTCCAGCCCCGGATCAAAATTTATAGGCCAGATCGAAATTGATGCCAGGCGGTTGGAAATAAAAAATCTGCATTGAATGTGTCCGTACTTCTTCATAATAATTATGAGTCTAACATGCTTGAATGCATTAGTAGCGAACCTTTAGTCAACATTGACTAGCCTCTTTAGTGGTGCTAGTTCTGTAGTACAGACTCCACAATCAACAGTTTATGATCATAATTGCTTGTCCTATTTCTTTTTGGCAAGTTAATCGCTTGTCCTATATCGGTATAATTTTAAGTAATTTTAAACAGAAAATGAATGATAAACTCTAACCAATGACTCAAAAAAGTAAACACAATAAAGAAAACACCAGAATACACCCATTTTCACATAGCAAATCAAACCAGAACCAGTTGCTGTACAGAAATTACAAGTTTCTAACAAATCTTGTCCCCCATCTGTTCTGTAAAGCATCATTCATATCCTTCTACAAACCTAACATGTTGCAATAGCACCCCTTTAAATATGCGATAATTCTTTTCTCATATCTGAAATTCTTTGGTCAACTCTTGTGAGGGATAATCTACCAGATGGGAAAAAGAATTAATAAAAAGTGAGCCCCCCTTTACCATCATTTAACAGACCAAAACCCATTGACCATTTGGCAAGAAGGCCAGAGAATCATTTAAAAGCTTCCCTTCATGCACAATGAAAATATAGGGCAACTAATTCTTTTTTTTTTCCCTCATTTTATCACTGGATTTCAAAATAGGATGAAGCTTTATCATACTGCCCTGAATGTTCAGATGCCTTGTAGCTTAACTTCAGAAGAAGCCAGTCATAAGTGAAGGAATTTCTAGACTTATTGTCCGAGAGCAGCATTACTTTTGGCTTCAAGGGCCGAACCATCTCTAAGCGCTGCATATGCTTCATTGTTCATATTAAGTGTGAACAATACAGCTGCTTGAAGATAGGATGCTGTATGCCACCCAGGGGATATAACTTGTGCTTGTCTTGCATCAGCAAGTGCCTCATTGGGCATGTCGCTCATCAGATAAGACAGACTACGACGGGCATAAACTGTTGGAGAAACCATGCTTCCAGCGTCAATGAACTGCAAAATGTGAAAACTATTAGCTCTATGATAAGAAGTTCTCATGCTCGAATTGCAATAAAGACTATCATGTAAAGCACATATGAAATACGCACTGGGTAGACCTTGGAGATAAGTATACCTTGACACCTTGTAAACATGGAGTGTCTAGTGGCTAGCTACAAATCATTCCAGTCTAAGGAATCATTATAATCAGAAAAGTTAAACAACTAACCATTGTGCCTCGTTTTCTTTCTCATTTTGCCCCTGGACTGTGGCAATACATTTTACAATTGTTGAAAATAATGAAATTTGTAATAATCTGATTAGGTCATTATTAAACTACTAGATCATTCAGTAAAATCCAAGAGAAGGGGGGAGAGAGGAGCACTTTGAAGTCTGAGATAACCAATGTTCAAAGAACCAGACCGGACATAGAACCGGAAAGGGGGGAGGTTCACAGGTCAGAGGTTCAACCGCAGTCAAACCATTATAAGCGTGGCATATACATATATAAATATTAAATAATATATTATACAAATAATGTTATGTTTGGATGTAGTGAAAGATGATTGGTTCTTTGATTTTTAAAGTAATTGACTAGGGTTCAAAACTCCTAACTTACATTTTCTTTAAAATACATGTGCATTAATGTAATATATACCTTAAAGACTCATAAATGGACGCAAATAATGAAGTGGATTAATGGTAACATGGTACTATGCATGGTAAAAAGGTCATGGATTCAAATCTTGTCATTTGCATTTTGAAAATTCCACACATTTGAGACCTAGGTGGTTATAGGAAACTGGGACCGATTCACCAGTTTTCTGGTTAAACCATCTGGTCAGCTTGCTTTGGGTGGTTGTCTACCTATTCTGGCTTCTAGGGTATGACTGAACTGGATATAGGCAGGGGTCACAGTTCAACCGGTCTGGTCCGGTTATCTAAAGTAAACATTTCAGAATCTTTCCTAGGATGGAGTTCCTCTAAAGTAAACATGCAATAACATTGCCCACCTACCACCCCCCACCAAAATAAAAAAGAAAGAAAATAAAAGGAAAACCACAAATCTAAATATGAAATGGCCTTAAACTATGCTTTTGGACCAATCAAGTTTTGCAACAAGATAATCACTCGTTAATTGGAATAAGCAACAACAGGTATTAAAGAGCTACTCCATCCAATAAGGACTGTCATCTTTGTGCTTTTTTTCTTTCCCATAGTGGTTCTCTATTTTAGAAATAAATGCATCAAATTTTTTCACTTTTTCACATTACCTTTGCCAAATTTTCAGAGATAAAGATGGAAGAGTAGTACTCAGAAATTTAGATAAATGAGAACGATGCATCAAGAGTTTCTTAAAATGTGGGTTTCTCATGCACAAGAGCTGTTGTGATTGGACCTTGCAGGAGGAAAGGAGTGCAAGAATTTTTAAGGGGAAAGATAAAAGAAGGGATTGAAAGTATTATAGTGAGGGTAGCACACTGGGTGAAGACAATGGATCTGTTCTCAGGTTTCACATTGGATAGTTTTTCCAGGAATTAAAAACCAAAAATTAAAAGGACCTCAATAAGGGATGAGAATGGGTTACTAGAATTGCACTCAGGTCCAATAGGTCAAGGAGATTCAGTCAGGCAGAACTTTTGGCAGCAACATTTAGGGTGCAAAAAGCCAAGGAAATGTGGGCTGAAAGATAGATTATCGAAGCTGATTCCAAAGTGGTTTTCAGTTGGTTAATGAAGAGTAGTAGAGTTATATCTTGTATGAAACTACAGATATGAAATCAGGTGCTTTAGATGGTTCTCAAGAGCCATGCAGCTAGAAGTCCAATGGGTACACAGATTGGCTAATTGTGTGACTGATAGTTTGGCTAAATAGGGATTTAAAAGGCAAAATTATTTTGGACCCAAATGTAATAAGTAGTTGATGATGGGGTGAGGTTGTAGGGCTATGCTCACAAAGTCTCTTTTTATATGTACACTCACAACCTCTTGTTGCACTTGATTGCTTTTAATTAATGAAATTCTTGATATTGTTACCAATAAAAAAAAGTGGGTTTCTTTAAAGAGGTTGTGCGGGATAGAGTAAAATATAATGGTCCAATAGAAGAAAGGGTGGTAAACAGAAGCCAACCTGGCTGTAGCATTCAATTGCAACTCTGAAGTCCTTGTGTCGGAAAGCAGTATCACCCTTTTTCTTTGAGTTCAATGTTTCTTGCATTTGGTTGGTCCACATTTGGAATGACAGCTGTGGAAAATTTGTGAGGAAAGAGAATACAAAATAACCTTCTGAATCTAAGGTGACTATATAAGTTTCACATTCACCATATGACCATGATTTAATATTATAAGCAGGGGGTGAGAGTGTTAGGCTTAGCAGAAAAATGGGAATTAATGCATGAAAACAAATTTTCAAGAAAACACATGAGAACTAGGGGCGACCATTTATAGTCTGGAGCCTGCAATGCACCTATATCAAATATAATATTGAATATTATATAAAGTATAATATATATTTTATGCAAATATGAAATGTCATATAAAATACTGTAGATGTTTAATATAATGTGTTTTAAAGTCATAGGCCCAGAAATCCGGCCTGGCCTGGCCTGGCCCATGATCACCCCTAGTGAGAATAAGAAATTAAGGCAGCAGATTGCTAATAATGAATCTGAATACGAAAAAAATACATGCAACAAAGTTTACGATAACATAAGCCAGCAGAACAGTTGATTATTTTTCAAGACACTCAACCAGCTAGCTACCAAATAAATAGCAATAATACAAGATTCAAACCATTCCACTCTTTGACTTAAAAATAGTAGAAAATGCATTTGCAAGCAGGCAAGGAAGAGCTCCAAATTATGTTAAGATGACATTCAATAAATTCTTCTAAATTTTAAGGCAAATAGCAAAAATCATTAGTTAAGCATCATTACACTTATTTTGGGATTGCCACATAAATCAAGATCTGCCATTTTCATAGCAAAACTCTGAAGCCCTTGAAACTTGTAACTTCAAATAAGAGTTCATGAAAAGCAACCACTAGACTACCTATAAATTAATGACTATAACTGGGGAATGAAACTTAAATAAATATGTTACTAAATATGAGATTGAGATATTGGGCACAAACCTCATTTGTTGTTCCCTCGTCATCTTTATACCCAGTCTTTTCTAAAATCTCATGAATGGCAGTCAGATCCATTCTAGAGCAAGCTTCACCAAGTGGGGATAGAGGTGAGAATGCAGCAGCATGAGGAATACCCATCAAAACATGAGATGGAACCTGCAGAATATATACTTTGATTGAAAAGATAAACCTCAAAGTTCAAGTTCAATTGGTAACCAAATCAGTTCCATTAACCATTCTTGGTATTCAAATGTGTGCCTATTAATCAATAACTATGTTCTGGGCCACCATCCTTAATACAAACCAATAAATTGTTATGTACATAGTCTGCATATGTGCACACACATGCCTGGGTTTGTATAGGAAAGAGGCTTCTTCTCATAAACAGGAGTAGGCATATTTATATATTTGCCCATGCATATATATGGATGATGTAGCATCAAAACATATATTCCAGAGACTCCCACTCCACTTGAACTTGGAAATTTTTTGGCTGGGGCTTCTTTAGACCCAGATTCAGTTCAGGTCAATGGAATAACACTTTGCAAATAGATATCACTTACCTAGGCCTTTCTTGGCCAAATCCAACTTTGTTTCTAAAGCCAAATGTTAACAGAATACCAGCCTTCTCTTTTACTATGTCATTTCATAAAGTGAACAAAGTCATGGTAACTTCACTGGAGACAACTTTCCCCTTGTTTTATGCACAATAAACTTAGAAGTCCAATTCAATTTTTTTGTAACTATAAAAAAGCCAAACATAGAAAAGTTTTCTACTTGATACAAGTAGGAAAAAACCAAAGATGTACTCTGAAGAATATCAGCCTTTGACTTGGCTGATCAAGGGATCCAACCAGCAACAAACTGTGTGACCCCCAAAGGTAGGGGTGAGCAAGAAAAACTGAAAAAACCAACTGGTAAACATATATTTGTATATATTTATGTATATTATATATATTTTATATATATTTTATATTATCTATATTATAAATGAATATATATGTATTATATATTATAAACATATAATATATTATTTATTATTTATTATTTATTATTTATAATATAATATTTAATATTAATTATATATAATATTATGAAATTGAAAAACCAAAAACCGATGAACTGAACTGGCAGTTAACCAAACCGATCGGCTTCGGTTCAGTTTCAGTTACTGGTTTTTGGAAAACCGGTACCACCAGTTCGGTTTGAAAAAAAAAAAGGCCCATGGTGCGATTAACCAAACCATGAGCACCCCTACCCAAAGGGGCATGATTGGTGAGTTACACAAGTTAGTGGTTGAACTTGACTTGGCGGATCAAGAATTCATAATGGACCATCATAACAAGTGCATTCCAGTATCACCACAGGAAGATTGTACCCTTTACAAAAACCACTTGCATTATCTCATTAAACAATTGAAGCATGACTCATAAGTTAAGCAATAAACATACTAAAAAAAGAAAAAAAAATGCATGATATATCAAGCAATAGAGCAAAAACCCTCAAAATTGAACAGCATCCTGAAACCTGAGGGCTATCATACACGTTGTATTGTAGTGTGCAAAGTTGTCACACATTGAGTTTCGACAAAACAACGTGGAGAGGAGACAGAGGAAAAAATAAAGATCAAGGAAAACAAATAGAATGGTCATAATCTGCAGAGAAAGCAGCCAAATTGCTAAATCCCTAGTTGCTAGAAAGAATAAAACGCTATACTACCTAAGAAAGAGAAGAGAATATGACCTCAGTTTCTTTCTGAAGAGGAGTCAAAGCAGCCACTAATGACTTGAGATTTGGTCTTTCTCGGGGCTCAACTTGAAGACAACGGGATGCTAAGCGTACTAACTCAGTCCCATCATCATTTGAAAATTGTCCTTCCAAGCAGGAATCAGTTAGCATCTGAATATTCCTGTCCCGTATCAGGTCTAGAGCCTGATATAAAATATCCATGTAAGTAACACAAAATAGAATGTCAAGGAAGTATTGCAATTAGAGGTTGAAACTTTAACTTATGCAATGTTCAAACAGGAATCCCCCTTTAACTTCATTCTATATGGATTTTAAATATAGTTTTTTCACAACTACATTGCATTTTCTTGTAATTTACATTTTTTTATAGATTATGGATATTTATAAGCCTATCTCAGTTAAAATCATGGGCTTAAAAGGCTGTGAGGTTGGGCAAAAAGGCTTATTCCTCAAGGCAAGACAGAGCCAATTCACCTTGTCTTAATAGCCTTTTGGACTGTATGCAAGGCTTAAGCCTCAAATTACGTGAGGCATGCACCTTTGGCTTGAGGCTTGTTTTGTGTGAGGTGCATGCCTCAACTGGTGGACCTGTAAAAAGAAATCAACGCCATTAGATTAGGATTTTAAAGGGTGAAATAGTAATTGGAGAAGTTAAAGAGTGGAAAACAAAGGCAAACAGAATCCAAGTTTTGGGGCTTAGGACTTTTGTTTGAGTGAGAACAAGAATGTTAAATAGGAGAGAACTTCATGCAGTCTCTTTCAAACTAGAAAACAGATTGGCAATCAGAGGAGATTGAATTCAGGTAAAAGGTACATAGCAGCAGACTCAATTGGAAATGTTGAAAGATGTTCTCTCTGAAAAGGTCCATTACCAAATGATGATCTCTCTCATCTATAAGATGAGAATAGGGGATTGCCTTCTTTCATATTCTTCTTCTTCAGTTCTATATAAACATTTAAGTGAAATAGAAAGGGATAATGTGTTGACAGAATTGCATAGAATACATGCTAATGTGATTGAAGTTGTTTCTTATCAAAGTTGACTGTGTTAATACCATAGGTATTTGCTTGAATAAGATAAGTTATATTGCACTGTTAGTATAGTTTTTCATGAATATATTGGTAATAAGTTTTTTAAAAGACTAAAATTATGCAATCTAATTGATGTGGTATTGTCTATTAGATGCGGGGTGTTGAGGATTTGAGAGTATTACTTTTATTGTAGATAAATAGATAAAACAATGTGAAATATTATCTTAAATTTACACCCAAGCTAAATTGATTAAGTGTGTACTTGAAATTGTAATTTGTAAATGATAAGGAGTAGCTTCTATATAAAATTTCAGTAATTTGATAAATGAAGTCTGCTAATAGTGTATAATGCCAATCAAAGACAGAATTGTAGGTTCCGAAAAAGTAAATTCAGACCATTAGTCTACCAAATTAGCTATACAGGATTACATAGAAATTTCTATTTATTTATGGGTTATTGAGGCTGATACTTCTAAATACCAAATAGTTGGGATTAAGCCTGAGCTCAATTTTATACCTCAAAGTGCCTCAAGATTTATGTGTCACCCCTGCCTTTGACCTCTTAAAACATTGGTTAAAATATAAGTAGCTTGTTTGCATGATTGGAAATTAAATATTTGTTGCTCATCATATAATGTCATTACATACCCATCACCTATGAACAAACCAATCTTAGACAAGTCCCTCTATCCCAAGAGTTCAGGATCAGATGGATATGACTTCTGGACACATATCCACATACAACAACCACATCTGAACCCATGTAACAAAACTTTTGACTAGAGTGCAAAAAAATGATGATAATTGGCAAAAGCCAACAACAAACAAAAAACCATATCTTTGGAAGTGCCACATCAATAAAAAAAAGGAATCACCATCTGACCAAATAAAATAGAACCACTTACTGAAAATATCCCCAAAAGAAAGTCCAAACTCCAGCATTCTTTCTCCAATCCAGGTTTGCCACATAATTGATGCACCTCAATGCAATCAAGCTACATAAATCAAAATACTCAGGCTCATGCTTGCAGTGCTCAAAGGCCACAAAACAGGCAGTCTAAAAGGAATTGTGTACTTTGAGCATCTGCAGGACATGAATCCCAGGCTCATCTGATAACCTCTCATCTCTTCAAGCTACATCAGATGGTTACCCAACTGCCTAACAGTGCATATTTAAATATTGCACCCAGTAATGTCAATGAATGTTCTAAATGCAGAGACATGACGCAAGGCATTCCACTACCTGGAGGCATGAAGTGTAGTTCAGAACATAAGAGGCATAAGAATCCTTAAGAGGGGGATGAGGAAGAAGAGGAAGGGGAATTTTTTTTTTATTAAAGATGTTTTATATTAAGAAGAATGAAGATACATAATAGTGTAACACTAGCTGAAAGGGGGGGGGGGGTCTTGTTGAAGCGGAGGTGAGTGAGCTGGAGTGGAGCAAGACACCCCCTCCCCCAGCCAAGGGGGTCTGGGGGCAGAGCCCCCACCCAAACTTTCTTTCCCCTTCTTTTTCCTTCCCTTTTCTTTTCTTTCTTTTTACTTTCCCTTTTTTTCCTTTTCTTTCCTTTCTTTTCTTCTTTTTTATTTTCAGTCTTTTTGCATGAGGTGTACACCTCTAGCACGCCTCATGCAAAAGGCATATGAAAGCATATGCCTCTTGAACCTTTGCTGACTCTAAAGAGTACACTTCAGGGAATTTTGAGGGCACCTTGCCTGGAGGTCTGGGCATACACCTCCCACACCTTTCAAAATTAGAACACTGATGTCAATTTCAGAGCCATCTATTATGAAAAGATGGAAAAGAGGATATCCCAGCATCCATCTACTCATTGATCCATTGTTTTTTATATGCTTTATCAGAATGGCCTCATTAAGGAAGGAACTAAAAACTTACATGGCTGGGAGGTATATGTTTTCCACTGAGAAGATCGAGCAAAAGGGTGCCAAAGCTATATATTACACTTTCAGGTGTTACTCTTCCTGCAGAATAAAGACAACAGGTTAAAATCACATAAACAATTTGAAAGACAACTTTGATAACATAAAACATAAGAGCTAGCTAATTAAATATTCCACTAGTTAGATTGGTCAAGTATGCTGTCATACTGATATCACATGAATTAACAAATAGCTATAAATAGCAATAGCAGTGCATAGTATCAGATAAAAGAATACTAGGTAATTGCACACAGAGGACTCTTCTTAATCTTTTTCTTTTTTGGGTAAATTACAGATAGGTGACAGATAGGCATCCTGAACTTTCAAATGCAACACTTCAGTACCCCCAACTCCCATAAATAGATATCCCAGTCCAACTGTTAGTACTTCATCAATTATCTGCAGTATGTGAAGTCATGTGTGACTTTAAAGTTTAAACATTCCAAAATCCCAAAACTACCCTTCTTTCTAAGTGTTTGGGATAAACCTGGTGATTAATAATAATAATAAAATAGAGTAAAAGAAGTCGCTTTGTTGTTGGAGTAGCTGTATAGTAGTTGTTGCATGAGATAAAGCTAGACAGGTGTTCAAAATATATGTGGGCATTTTGGTAATTTCATTGCACACAGTGACATGGATTAATGGCATTGGACCAGGGTGTCTATCTCTAGAAGTTCGAGGTACTCTAAGTGTTGCATTTAAAAGTTTGGGGTACCTATCCGTCACTACCCCTGAAGTACAGGGTACCTATCTGTAATTTACCCTTTTTGTTTGAAAATTTATACACTGAATCAGGAAGCAACTTTTCCCCTCTTTTCTCAGAAAGGATAGAAAAGCAATATTTACAATTGACAAGGTAGCTGTCAAGTCATTCAACTTTCTGATACCAGGAAGCAACATTGCAGAACTGGACAGGGACAGCAGTCGCAGCACAGAAACTCTGCCGTGAAGGGTGAGGAGAATAGCAGAGCCTTGATGAAATAGAGGCAAGACATTTTTTATTAATCAAAAGATTTTCTTAATTAATTTGAAAATTTTTATATCATTGGGTTATCTTGCATAATCAGTGATTCCATCAACAGTATACGACCACCAACAGGGATGTTAAGCAAAACAGAGCAGTTTTAAAGGCAAATTGAGGAATGATTTAAAGTCATGTGATGGGGAAAAATGGCCAAAAAAAAAAAACACTCAACAAACTGACAACACAACTCATTCTTCTAGAACTGGTTTCAAATAACAAAAATCTCCCATTATTATGTACAGAGGCAAAAGAGGATAAGGCATCCTCAAAGAAAACAAGGCAATCTGAGAAGATTAAAAAAACATGGAGTACATGTAGTAGATTTCCAACCCCCCCCCACCCCACCCAAACAAAAAAAGAAATCAAACTAAACCTCATCATATTTTGGAATTCTCTTAAAGAAGAAACCAGTATAGCATATGTTACTACATATCCTTAAGAGTGGAGAAGAGGTACCATCAGAAGTCATCCTGTTACATTCCTTCCAAATGGCCCACATAGAACAAAGAGAATCATCAACTACAGGATTTGACAGCAGGAGAATAGGTTGTACTTCTATAATAAACTAATTAAAAGCAATATGATACATGCAACTGTAAATCTAAAAGGTTCCATCATTATGTCAAGCCTGAGGAGCAAGTATCTAAAGCCACGTCTGTCTGGCAGTTTATCAGGAAGCGAAGTACTTAACAAGTGCCAAGCTAAGTGCATCCAAAAGCAACATAAATTAAAAGAAGTAGCATTCAAACACTAAAGGGTGTTACTGTCATGTCTTTGGAATCAACCCTTCCAATAAGCATATCACTTTAAGATTATTGCAAAATTATTAACTCCAGAATCACCTTGTCCATGTCATCAATGGAGCCAATACTTAACAAAAACATGGTATGCAGGATCATCAAGTATATGTTATCATAACTTACAAAGAATCTATCAAACACAAAACTTACAAAGAAGATCTTAAGAAGCTGTCAGGGGAGATCAGGGTTGGGGGAACCTTGGGAAGTGTAGCTTGCAGCTGTTTATGGGCCCAAAACAACAACTGCCCCATTTTGGCACCCCAATAACACCCTGAAACCAAGTTGTCTCAGCTTAAAAAATATTTTGGAAAGACTAAACTCCCACTACCCATTTCTTTGGCTTTCCCACACCATAAACTGCTGCTAGGAATTCCGCTCTTACCAAAAGGAGACCCTCTCAAAATGCTGTCACTAACAATCACAACCTCTGGGTCCCCCTTCACAAAAAAGTATGATATCATCTACATATTGTGAGTGACAATCACTTCTTGCCTCCTAACTCTCAAATCTCTGATTGAATTCCTTGAGTCAACCCTGAAAATCAAGACACTCAAAACGTCCATTATCAAGGTGAAGGAAAGGAGATATAGGGTCTCCTTGTCTAAGGACCTCTTAGCAAGAAAGAAATCCCTAGCTATACCATGTACCAAGACAGAATAGTGACAAGTAATGATACATCCCTTAATCCATTTACACCATCTCCCTCCAAAACCTTTGTTCCACAAAACTTCTAGCAAAAAATCCTAGTCACCAAATCATATGCCTTTTCTAGGTCAAGTTTACATCTCAGACCCTTCTCTCCTTTTCTTCTCCTGTAACCTACACGCCCATTGGCAATTAGGATATGATCAATGATTTGTCTCCCTAACACAAAAGCCCCTTGATTCGGAGAAATTAAGGAGGGGAAGACTTTTCTGATTCTCAAAGAAAGAACTTCAGAGATGGTTTTATATTGGGATCAAAGCTACAAAAGTAGCATTTGCACCAGAATTGATTTCGCCTCTTTCAAAGAATTCCGAGAATACCTCCACCAAGTCACCACCTAGTATATCCCAACAATCTTGGTAAAAGGCCATAGTGAATCTATTTGGACCTAGGGCTTTTAATCTTTCCATAGAGAATAAGGCATCTTTTATTTTCTAAACATCAAAAGATCTCTCTAAGGGATCTAACAACTCCCTCTTTCCAGCCTGCCACTCAAAATCAATTAAGTCTCACTCACTCTCAAGGTTCAAAATATCATCACGTATCTGCCCGTATCGGCCGATATGTATCATATCGGAGCCTTCCCAATACGCCCCTACAAGGGGTGTTTTGGGTCAGCAAGTGGTTCAGGGGGTAGACCGGCCCCTCTGAACCAGATTCAAAAAAATAATAAAAAACAAAAACAGTACCGGTACAGGCCGATAAGCCCTACCGGCATATTGCCCTGTATTGATATTTTGAACCTTGCTCACTCTATTAGGACTATCACAAATGGATTTAAAATGTTTCACAAAGGCCGTTGCTTGCAATATCTTCCTCTCTTGTAAGCACTACTCCATTCCATTCCAAACTTGATACATTATTCTTCCTCTTCCTTCCATTGGCCAAATTGTAAAAGAACCTTGTATTACCATTTCCTTCAACCAATTACATCTTGATTTTTCCTCCAACTTATCTCTTCCTTTCTAAGGATTTCCTCCAGGTCATGTTTCAACTCCCATCTCTCTTCTCTTTCTTCTACCCTCAATCTTCTCTCTACTCCAGCTACATCTAACTCTTGAATCCTTTTGATGATAATCTCCTTTCTTTCTTTAATTCTACCAAACTCTTCTTTATTCCAAACTTTTATCCTAGCTTTCAACTTGTGTAGCTTCTTATAGAATATGTAACCTTTCCATCTAAAAGCCATTGATCCCACCACTCTTTCACTTTCCTTATAAAATTTGGGTGTAGCAACCACATTTTCTTAAACCTAAAAGGCCAAAAAAAAAAAAAAAAAAACTAAAAGAGAACAAGAACCTGTCTAACTTACAATAGAGGGGCTCTTATTGAAAATTAGACCAAGTAAAATTAGCTTGCAACATTGGAAATTCTCCCAACGCAAAGGAATTCACAAAGTGATTGAACTTATCTCATGCTTAAGGTGATCCTATGGTTGGGGTTATTTGTTTGATTAACAAATCTGATGACATTAAAATCATCTCCTGAACACCAGGAATCCTCCCACAATCCCCTATAGCTACTAACTGCTTCCACAACTCTTCCCTTTCCATGTATAAATTTGGTCCATAAACATTGGTTAAAGCCCATTCTAGTCCATCCTCTCTTCTCCTTAATTTAATTGTAACCCTAAAGTTACCAATTAATTCTTCTATACAATCCAACTCCTCATTTTTTCATGTTGTAAGAATTCCCCCCGAGGCCCCCCAAGACTGTGCAAATGCCCAACTTAGTCCTCTAGACGACCAAACATAGTCCACTTCTTCCCCTTCCTCCCAATGCAACCTCAACTTCTCCACCTCACTCAATTTCTTCTTTCTCCTCTTAGGCGTCTCTCCTTCAACCTTTTCTTATTTTTCTCTTGATCTATAACTCTCTCTCTTTTATGACTCTTCCTCCTACTCTTCCTTTTTGACTTTTTAGCACCAGTAGTTTCCCCTTCGCATTCCATTCCCCTTACCCAAATATCAGGACTTGGAGTATCACCCTCCTCTTCCTTATCAAACTTAGCACCTAATTCCTTCTCTGCCAAAAGTCTAAAGGTTTGCATTATTAATCTCCAAATCCTTTCCCCTTCTTCCTTAGAAAATTTTAAAGCCTCCACATCCCCTAACACTTTCGTTACTTTCTACGACTCAAATGGACAAGCAAATTGTAGAATAGAAATGGCATCACCAGTAGGCACAACAACAACAACTAAGGAAGGGGAAGAATTAGCACAAGAAACTTGAGGAAATAAAGGAAAATGACACATCATACCAAAATCACCAAGACTTGAAAGATCTCCAATTCCACCTAAATTGTGAAGGAGAGGACATTTACTTGGAGTAATCTCCTCCAAACCAAGCTATGTCGCACTACCAGAGGAACGGGGAAAGTTTGTATATTTTCCATCTGAGTTGGTAGAAGTTGTACTCAAGCTACGGACACCCTAGCCTTGTTCTAGAATTAGGACAGGAGAACCTCTGTCTTTGGTCGAGACATTCACCTTACCCATGGGATTGCCTTCCATTCCCAATCTCTTCCATGGTTCCAGAGTCTTCTTCGAGCTACTCTTCACACTAGCTATAATGGATTCCCTAGAAAAGACTTCACCTTCATCCTTTTCTTCTTTGCAGTTCATGCACTCTAAATTGAAAACATCTCCATCTTCTTTCTGCCGATCAAACATTGGATCAGTACGATTAAGAGCCATGGAGTAAGAGATTAGCCTTGGTCTCCAAGAAAATTTCTCTGACATTGTTTCATTTGAGCCAGCCTTCTTTGACACAATAATTGATTTGGATGATGATGGTAGACCTGAAAGATGGTCTACCATCTTCACCCCAACCTCAGTCCCATGACCACTTAACAGCTCATGCAGTCTCTCATCTAACTTCGGCCCAACTTGATCTAAAGAGCTCCCAACCTTAGGCCCTTTCTTCTTGGGTTTTAATGAGATGGGCCCATTCAAAGAGGCCTTTAAGTTGACCAACTCTACTCTCACATGTCTTCTCAAGTGATCCACACCTATCGAACCCGGTTCATCTCTCAATGGCCTAACTGGATAAACAATTGACCTAACACTATTCAAAAATTCCACCAAGCCACATGTTTGTTGAACATTTTTCTTGTAATTACTCCACCTGTCAAAGCTTCGGTGTAGGTCCTGCTCCACTCTATTTTTCCTTGTCTTACACGCTCAAAGCTTTCCCCTGTTAACAAACCTTTTGCATTCTTCTTTTCCTGAACTCCCAAAAATGTGTAAATCTCAGCCAATCCCTAATTTCCACATAAGTAATCTTCCTCTACCTTCTCTTCCTCCTCCCTTCTGGACTCCCTCCACAAGGAAGCTTCAATGGAGGATAGGAACCATTCTGAGTAGAAAAGATCATCAATGAAAATTTCAATCTTCCTTGGGACTTCTTCTAGTTTAACTCCACTCGATCTTATGGCTGCTGACTGGAGGTCTAACAGGAATACACTATCAAGTCGAGCCTTACATAAAGATAGACTAAAAAAACTCTCTCTTACACAGATGGAAAGGTAGACCAGCAATCCTAATTGTGACTCCATCCACCACCTCCAAGTCCTTCAAATTTTGACAGGGGACCATTTCATAACTGTAATTGTTTCCTCAACTAACTGAAAGTTCATTGCACTAACTTCAACTTTGTCCTCCAGCAAGTCAATCAAAGCTTTGCAATCCTCAAACTGAGTGATTAAGACCGGACCCTTCAACTTCAAGTTTTTAATCAAAGCTGTTGCTATTTTCCTCCTATCCCCTGGTTTCTTCTTCACTACAGCTACTAATTTCTTTCCTCAATCTTCCTTCTCATCTATGTAGGCTATTTTACAAACGCCCAAGCCATTTACCAGAAACCTTGCACCCAGTTCTTTCTCAAGAGTAGATTTCTCCACTTCTTTAAATTTTTCTAAGATTTTCTCTTCCTTCTTCAAGTTCAAGAACTCCTGCAGGATACTTTAATCTCCATCCAGATTGAGCCATTTTTTCCTTCAGGAAAAAAGACCAATTGTTTCTTCCTTTCTCCAAAATAGCCAAGAATCTAACCTTGTTATTACTTCTTCTCTCTGCAATATACCTCCTCTTTTCCCCTTCCTTCAAGATCTTCCAGTCTATCTCTTTGCTAGTATGAAGTGCACCCTCCACAAAAAGTTGGAGCCATTCAACCACTTCAGTCCCTACCAGTAGTACCATGGCCTTCTTCATCTCCCTGATCTTCAGCGTGAGTTTTCCTTTCACTCTAGTCTTCTCGAAAAGCAGATTTTTTGCTTCAGCTTCAAAAATCTTCTCCAGGTTGACTGCTTCTCAAACTCCATACTTTCTAATAGCTCATACCTTCTAATCCCCACCATGTTTATCCTAGTAGGACATTTTCCCTTTGTATCGCATCAACCAATTTGGTTTATGGTCATAATGTTCACACTAAAATAAGGTTTTTGTTTTGCTTCACTATTTACTTTAGTTACTAGGGTTAAAAAGTCAAAGCCATGATATAACCTTAGGAGGTGACAAAAAATTAAGTTCAAGTTGATGATACAATTTAAGAATGTGACAAACAACTGAACAAGTAACAAGTGAGAAAAAAATCACTTGTTCATAAACAAACTTTGGGCCTAACTCTATGTAAGTTGCTTCTTCCTCCTATCTCACAGCCTCTTAAACCTTTTTCTACCCTACATTTCACTATAAACAAAAGGTGAACCCATACTTATCCTACATGATTAACCAAAAGAGTTGAATCCATGAGAAAAGCAAAATTATATCTAGCTTCACCTAAATCCACATGTACTATTCAAGAAAGCACTCTATAGTCTGTGTCACTTCTGAATGCAAAAATCTCTGGTTTAGAAGGGGTACATACCAGTTCTCAGATACTCAGGTGGGGTAAATGCCAAGTTCGTGCTATAACTTTTTCCATCTCTACTATTCTTCATCAGGCCAAAGCATGAAAGTCTCGGGTTACCATCCTGTATAATGGCAATACACAAGGTAAAAAATATAAAGTACTCTTTATAACTGTATAAAAGGAAATCTGGAAAAAAGTGCACATTATCAAATAAAATTAGCTAAAAACAATAGTGAGAATAGGCATATAATGTTGAAAACAATGTGAGTAATGAAATAATAAACTCACTGCAGAAAGGCAGACTGCAAATTACAATACCCACATCATCAAATAAAACTCTGTAAGCATTAAGATCATGATAAAGGGCACGCCCTTTGATTGTACAATATTCAAGTGCTTCAGCAAGATGTAGAACCACTCTTAATCGCATTGCCCATTTCATAGGCTGTGTTTCCCCTGGGACAAAAAATGCAATCAAAACTAGTACATGAAATAGAGAAATAATCACATGCATATCAACTAAGAAAATGGCGATAACATTTGACCCCAGAAAATAAATTCAAAACATATATTTTATTTATCAAAAAAACAAGCAAATGGCGAAGAATAAATAGCCATTGGAACACAAATACAACCAGATTTGAAGACTTCAAAAAGGCACAAGATTCAAGAAAATAGATTATTCTCCATTTCTTCTCAAGCTCAAATAGTATTTGACAAAAATATAAACTAGAAGAGTGAATGTAATGTCACAAGAATCAAAAAAGAGATTTTTTTCTCCATTTCATCTTAAACACAGGAGTATTTCACAGAAACATAAACTAACAGAGTGAAGGTAATGCGATTTTTATTATGAATTCTTTACAGTAAGAATAAATGGAAAACTGACAAACTGGCTCTCCTACTATAATGTAAAAGTACGGATAAAAGGACAAATAGAGATACTACAATCCAGAAAAGAACCTCAAATTATTTAGGTGTTCCCCATAGAAATACTAAACACATGTGCCTAATATCTAATAGGAGACCAGCAAATCAAGAAAATACATCAGCTCAAAGTTGACCTTCAACTAATATGATAAATGATTTTGTTTTTGGCTGAATTGTACAAAATGACAATTCTGAACCAAAAAAAAAAAAAGCTTCTAAAAGCTTGAAAAGGCACACAATGTCAACAATGAAGTACCACATGTACCAGAGACTTACAATGAAATAGGTGTTTTGCTAGCGTATCATTGGGCATATATTCTGCCACCAACAATCTTTCATCACCTTCACAACAACAACCAAGCAAATTTGCTAATCTACGGTTGCGGAGCTGACCAACAGATCTTGCTTCTTCCTAAATTTAAAAGAAAGCTTCCACGTTATGATCCGGATTGATGGAAAATCAAAGTATATCTAGAAAGTATTGGAAGAGACTCAAAATTACAGCCAAAGCATAGATTGTTAATATACTAAACCAGTGCAATGGAAGAGGATACAATATGAATGTTAATAAACCTCACACAGAAAGCATGTTAGATGGATCCAAAAGACCAATCCACACCAGCACCTTATATGTAATTGTGCTGCTATTATCTTCCTTCAAACTGCACTGGTCCTCATCATAGACAGGGGAAAACTAAGGAGCCATTTGACAATGGCTGAAGTGGCTGAACTGGACGACTTATTGCTTTGTATTTTGGTGAATAAAATAGTATAATAATAAAGTAGTCAAAGGAAACATTATCAACCCAACTTCAGCTTCAAGCATTAAACATCTTAAAAACTCCTTTATAACTTATTCAACAAAAAAAATAAAGCAATAAGTCATTTGGTTTAGCCATTTAATCTGTTACTGAATAGCCTTTATATTGCTGTTACATAAAAAATGAAACCAGACAACTGAAAGTAATGCACCAGAATAAATGGTAGTCATGGAAGAGGGCAACTCGCTTAAAAAAATATGATTAACAGTCCATCTACCAAAGATAGATAAGTACAACCCTTTAAACAAAGAAGAAAACAGCTTTGAGGAAACTCTACCCCCCCCCCAGCGAAAAAAGGAAAGGGAAGATCATGCATAAAGTTGAACAGTGCTATGGTTGAATAAGAAGATTAAATGTTTTGGGTGGGACAAAAGGCTCAAGTGTCTCAAACCTAGGACCACATTTGGTATTTTCATTACTTCTTATGAAATTATATACAACTTAGCATGCATTCAAGTAGTACTATTTTGCAGTTTGGACAAATATTAAAAGGAACTTTGCAAGAAAACAAAGATCAAAGCGGTCACTCATTCTGTTATTTATATTGTCAAAAACAAATCCCAAATTCCAATAAGAAAAACTTTTATGACATCAAGAAAGGTTTACCAAGAATTGTCGAGCATCAGGCCAAGCCATTCTATTAAAGCGCTTGACAGCAATACGCCTTTGATTCTCCAGCTTCCCCTTATAGACAATGTTTGGAGCTTTTTCCCCATGTTCGGACACAATGTTCTCTACAGCAAAGCCAGATGTAGCAAACCTGAGCTGATCTAAAGTGTATTCACGGAATACAGGCAAGTCAACCTGATTTCCCCCCTCATTCTCTGCAACAACAGGAGGAAGTCATCATACCTACTCTTCTCCCTAATCTCAGAGAGAGAATAAAACAATCAATCTACTCACCAACATCAGGAGCCTCAAGAATTGATCCTTTAAATTGTGTATCCCAACAACACGCTGTGAGTTTGGAGCAATGACAACCCATCCCAATATAGTTTATGTCCTAAATCCTTAGAATGCTAGTACAGTTGTGGCACTCTAACCAACATTTATTGGAGTTGCGCAATCAGTCCATTCAGCTAAAAAGTCCAATTTGATTGTCTTCCAAACAACTTCAATCAACTATTGTGTATTCTGATCATTTCAATCTGTGAGGAGTTCGTGGCACAGAACAATATCAATTTCCATGCCCATCGACCTGGGAATGCCGAATTGCATCAAATAGAGAAATAGCAAATTACCCTATAAAAGATCACAATTTTTCTTTGCGACTTAACAATTTTCCTGAATATACTCATTTACCACTCTCCCACCTCCGCACTGAAGTTCAAATTTCACCAAATTCAAAGAGAACAGCTTGCACTCCATTGAAACTTTGGCAAAATTTATCCATGAAAATAATTAAATTAACCAAGTAATTTAAATTATTAATGATATGTTGATTAAATCCGTTGTTTCAAACAAGCTCCAGTTTGCTCCTCTTTAGGAGATGCCTTTGGTCAAACAATTTCAGAAAAAGAAAACGTCATAAACTTTTAAGGAAAAAGAAGAAAAGGAAAGATTCGACGTTTTAGGTACAAGAAATACCTAAAGCTATCTCCCTTCTGGTCAACCCGGTGGTGATAAAATTGCATAAACCGCTCAATTCATAACTAAATACCCGGTAAGGAAAGACCAGCTATGCAACTCCAAAGCTTCCCCTTTTGAGTCAAACATTCCAGTACACCATTGCACAAAAGCTGCTACGAACTTCAACCGACGTCTGCCGCTAATAAATCATATAAACACTATTACGTTTCCGATTCAAAGTCCACCAATTCCCCCTGCAGCAGAACTCGTCCTCGTCATCAACATAATACCGGAAAGTAAACAACAGAAACCTTTCAAACCGATCGGCGCTTCAGTTCTTCACAGACACAAATCACTTATCGTGATTAGATGTGATCGAATCTATTAAAAAAATACAGAATTGCGGTGCAAAGACGAGCTCTCAGAAGCTCACAATCTGCTGATAGCCATATACTGAACTAACTCAAATCAAGATCATCACTTATGAGGCTCCGCAAGAAAGAATTTAAGTTCAAGAAGGAAAGAAGAAAAAGATGAGATCTCTTACAATCTTTCTCCGTGTTGCTGCTCTATTTTCATTTTTCCACCGACAGGCAGCAATTTTTCTTCTTTTTATTATTTTCTAAACCCTAGTTAGTGGTTACTGATTCTTATTGTCCAAATTCTAATTTTTTTTTATCTAGAGAGAGAAATATATTATAATTTCCTTCGTCTTTGTTTTCCAGCGCGATTGATTTTGGTTGAATTCGTCGTTCCTCAGGCAATTTTAGGTCAGCGAAACAGCAAAGAGAGCTCAGACCTTCATAATTCCCCCGCCGCAATCATTTCGATTTTATTATTTTAATATCCTTTTTATTTTGTACGAACTTTTATTATAAATTTAGAAGCCGCACAGTAATAGCATACGTTCGTAAATCTCAGCCGTGTAATTAGCGGGTAAGATTATCGCTTGTCAAAGATAAGTGAATGATGGTAGATATTTGGAAAATATGGTCCAGTAGTTGGATGGCTGAGATTGAAGATTGCTTGTGTATGCGTTCTGAAGGAAACGATGGGAATATTGGTAGAAGCAATTGCAGGCGGTGGAAACATACGTCGGTGTCTTAGACTTAGACTGATGTTCTTGACAGAGGATGTGGACCTGGTGACAACCGCGACGGTCGCCTGGTCGGGTGGGAAATCGGCATCCCGGACCTAAACCACTCGGCTATGCTCCAAACGTAAACCGTAAACGTGTCCCTTACGTTTACCCGAACCCGCGATCGGAATGGATTTGAATTCCGAACCGGCCTTAAATCCGTGGAAATGAAATGGCTCTCCGCCCAAGGGGTGCTTACGGTTCGATTAATCGAATCGTGACGTGATTTTTTAGACCGACCGAGATCCGAAACCGAACTGATGCAATCGGTTAACCGGTCGATAAGGGATTTGAGGCCGGTTTGGAATTTAGTTGACCGGTTAATTGTGGTTCAATTTTTTGGTTTTTTTATGCATTGAAATTTTAAAAAAATGGAAAAAACCTTCCTGCTTGCATATTGAGAGTGAACAGAACTAAGACTGAGATGAGATGAGAGATTGAGAGATTGAGAGAGATGAGTGACTAAGATTGAGAGAGAAGAGGAGGACGTTGGGGAAGAAGAAGAGTTTGAGAGAGAGAACAGAGAGTGAGATAGTTGGTTGCCTGGTCGGACGTTGACAATGGTGACTCGATTGTCGGAGGCGATGATGACTCGGTTGTCGAAGGCCATCGATGATTCGGACAGAGGGCGGAGCGTCGGAGGCCGTCGATCCGTTGGGGAAGAAGATAACTGAGACTGAGAGTAACAAAGAAAGCTTAGAGTCTTAGAGAGGAAAGAAAAGGGAAACTAGAAACTGGAAAGGTGCGGCGAAGATAGGAGGCTTATTAGAGACAAAGAGAGAGACTACCAGTTTGGCAGTGTTCGCCTGTTTGCCAGTCGCCAGTCTAGCTGCCAGTCTGCCAGCCTTTTGAAGAGAAAGGCTGAAAGCCTGAAACCTGAAAGTCTCAGTTCAACAGTCTGAGAGTGTCAAACTGCCGAACTTTTTATTAGATTTTATTGTATATATATCGGTCAATTTGATTAACCACCAATTTTTTTAAATGGTTAACTAAAACCAAATCAAAATTATCAATTTTTTGAAAACATTGAACCGAAACCAAATCAACCAATTTTTTATTCGGTTTCAATCGATTTTTTTTATTGATTCGGTTTTTAGGTTTTTTTTGCACACCCCTACCACCCAGCATAATATGGAATACAGCTAAAACGAGGAATTCAAGAGCTGAAGTTATAAATAGTGGGATGTTTTAGTCACGGTCTGACTCGATGCGGACCATGCAGTTTGGAGAAGTCTCGGACCAAACCAGTAAAATATGGTCCGAGAAAAATAAAACTAGTTTATTACGGTTTACTACAGCTTCTAATACGGTTTGGATATTAGAAAGCCCAAACAACATATATATACTTGTATAAATAATAAATAATAAATATTTTAATCACCATAAAATCATTGAATCATCGTAACTGATATGCTATGAAAGCATCAACTAAGGTCAAATTCATTAGTTGTCAAATATAATTTCGATAGTTTATTTTATTATGTATTATATATTAATATAATACTATATAATATAATTTTTTTTTTTGAAGTGTAATATTATAATTTACGATTTACAATTTAGTTTGGTTTCTAAGGCTTAATTTGTAAAGAATACAAATATAAATATGTAAAATACAAATACATATAAAATGATACAAATTAAAATACAAGATTTTGTACTCTACATATTTGTATTTATACTTCTTCCCATCTAAGCCTAAAATTCAAGAAACCGAATTAAAACTATATACCAAAATTTTAAAAAATTCCAAAAACAAACAATTTTTATGTTTAGACCAAACTTAACTGCCAATCCTAGTTTAATTTGGTTTGATTTGGCAGCCTGGATTAATTGTATAATGAAATAATGAATACCTCTAACATTTTTAAAGGTCATTTACTAAGACCCCCTTTTCTTTACCGTATTAACTAAGATACCCCTGTAGGTGAAAGTATAAAATTACCTATTTAACCCTTTCCTATTTGACCATCCTTAGAAACCCACATTATTAAAGGGAGGGGACCTAAAATAGGATTCTTTAACAAGATTTCAATAAGGTTTGTTAATGCAAGGAAGAAATTAAATAATGTTATTAAACTCTACAATCAGAGAGGAAATCTAAAGATCCGATGGTATTGTTCGAAGAAAGGACTGGATGCAGAAAATTGTTTTGTCTTCGTGTTGGCTTGTGGAAGAATATACATACACCACCCTGAGCCCGAGTCCTTGAGGAAGAAAATAATGTGTGAAGGACAAAGAATAGTTTTAACTAATGTTTTTTATCTACTTTGTGTTTGTGATCTCACAATTTTCCTGTGAGGTAGGTGTTGGACAGACTGAAATTCAATTGTTTTATGGCTGAACCTGTTTGGGTTGATGGCCGAATTGCAAAAAAAAAAAAAAAAAATCACCATGAACCCAAGAAACAATTTCTCTGAATTTTAAAAACTCAATTTTTTAGATTGAACTAACACTAAATTGGACCAGATTTGAAAATCAAAAATAAATTGGATGTACACACCCAAAATTCAGACCTATATTGGCCTCTCAACTAAAGATGGCACAACTAGAACTTGATCTCCAAAGAGTTGGTATTAACAATCTTTCAGCCGATTTTGATCTCCAAAGATGGCACAGCTAGACTTATATATATATCCTATAACAAACTTTTAGCCAATTTTGATCTCCAAAGAGTTGGTATTAATGCAGTTGTGAGAACCACTTCAAATCTGATGTTTTTTGTTCAAAAACACAACAAAGGATGATGGAAGAATAGTCTCTTCCTAGGTTGGTTCGAACTGGGGTTTATGTAAAGCTAGAATGAAGAGAGAGTGTAGGTTGACCTCTCCCTCTTGTCCCTATGTATAAACATCTTTCTTAATGTAATTAAGACTAACCCAAATCAGGTTTGGGTTAGGTCTCTAACTACAATAGTAATATGGAGGTCCAAACCCATATTTGATCAAAATCACATGACAACTTGACTAGTTTAACTAGTCTTACTAGACAATGGGCTATGGCTTATTTCCTTTAGTGATTCACTTACATAACTATCGTGAGGCTTTTTAGGCCCAAATAATCTATGGAATGGGAACAAGGTCTCATATTAGTCCACATGGGTTCAGTCCATGTCTAGAAAGACATAGGCCAAATTCATTGTACCAAGGCAAAAAACCCCTAAGCCAATCAAATTGAACTCAATTTGGGCCCACACTTAAGATTAATTGATATTTGGTTTCAACCACCCAAGGATAATGGATTGATATGAGATAAAACCCATCAAGTTTTAGCTATGTAATGGTCTCTTGCCCCTAACCCCTTAGTCCTAAATAATCAAAACACTACTTCTAAGGAATGACTTCTTCCCTGACTACAAAATGTAGTCCCACTCTCTACTCAAGTGGATCATGGGATTACAACTTTTTACAAATAATTTTCATAAAATAATATATAAGTATAAATATTTTGCAAAGAGATATAAAAAAATTAGTTAAAATCCACTATCCACAGTTTTAGGTTTCCATTAAAGAGAGTGTAAACCCTAATATTCACCTTTTTTACAAAGGGGTTGATCTTATCACAATGATCACCCACTCAGGTAATATTCTAAACTGTTCCAACATATCCAAGTATTTAATAACCTTGAGAGAATCTCACTAGTTAGAATATCAAAAGCAACTCAATCAAAGACCTAGTGTTGTATCATTATTAAGTCTAGGGTTAAGTACAACTTTTTAGTTTTACCCATCTATCTCTAAGGTCTAGGGCTTAACTAGAAAGTGGTACATGTTTAGTGTTTCTTACAAACACCCACTTTCTATAGTTAGGGTCAAAACCTAATAGTTGAGACAAGGTAGCACATGTCTCATACATGTTTAGGCTAACACATGTTCACTGATTCGGCAACACCTCAGTCTTATCAAGATAAACTAATGGCTGAAAACTTTTTAAACTAACACATGTCTCATAATTGTCTAGTTTAAGGGGTAATATACAAAAACATACCAATTTGAACAAAAAATAATAATGTACTCATTTCATTTAATACATACAACTCAGTGTATATCAATCTGATTGAAGCTAAGAGTATACATTGTCTAATAGCTCTCACTTGAACTTAGGTCCATTTTGTTACAAGATTCAGTTTCATATTGTCCACGTGTCCCTTAAACACTTTCTAATTAGTGACTTAGTCAATGGGTTTGCCACATTATCCACTAACGCTACATTCTAAAACTAGATGTCTCCTCTCCCAACAATCTCCTATAAGATATGATATTTCCTCTCAATGTGCTTAGACTTCGAGTGGGCTCTCGACTCATTGGGTTAAGTAATGGCTCCAATGTTGTTACACAACAGTGGAAAGGGTGACATGCTTGAAATACAATTACTAACTCTTTGATGAATTTCTTCATCCAAAATATTTGGAGTGTTTGGCTTTAAGGACAAGTTTTCTTTATATCCTAAATTGTCTTGGGTAAATTTTGGTGATTGGAATGTGATTTGGGTGTGAGCAATGCATTTCTCTTTATTCTTGGTTCTTGAAATGGAATCTTTTTATATTGGTAGTGGATTTAGAGAATTTAAGATTAAGATATAGTTTTTAAGGATTTTTAGTCATCCTAAGATCACTAATGTTGTTGAATCAAGTATCTAGGGATATTTTAATAGATTTTAGTCTGTTGGAAAATT